CCTGGGATTCCCAGCTGCTGGATTATGTGTCCTGGGACACTTCCATCCAGCTGTGGGGTCCCTGTCCCTTTAAGACTTTCAAAAAGCACTTGCTTTTCTTTGTCCCAGGCATGCCAGCTGCGGGGACCCTCCCACAGGTTTTACTGTCCCGTTTCCCTAGTATCCAGCACACCACGCACTGTGTGTCTGTGCTCCTGGTGCAGATGACTAGGGCTGGCTATTTAGTAGTCCTGGTCTCATTCTCGCTCCCTGCTCTGACTCCTCTCCTCCTGCTGGGAGCTGGGGTGAGGGACGTTCGGGTCCCACTGGGCTGTGGCTTGTATCTTACCCCCTTCATGAGGTGCTGTGTTCTCTCAGATGTAGATGTAGTCTGGCTGTTGTCCTGTGTCTCCTGGTCTCTCTTTTAGGAATAGTTGTGTCTGTTGTATTTTCAAAAATATATATGGTTTTGGGAGGAGATTTCTGTTGCTGTACTCATACCGCCATTTTGGCTCCCTAAGGACAATTCTTGTATGACAAACATATACTACAGAAACACTGCATTGAGTATTAGCGATATGTTTTTTCTTTGTTGGATAGTGGTAGAGCTCAGTGTATATGGAGAAAGGAATTTCCCACAGGAATGAAATAAAAGTTTAAATGAGCTGTTCCTTTAATGAGCTTACTGTTGTCTTTGAACAAGTTTTTCCTGGGTAGACTGCTCTAGTTAACCCCATGCACAGTAGAGTGAATGTTTCAAAAAGGAGTTAAAGAGATATAAAATCATTAAAAATAAAAAGTATAATATTTCTCTACTATAAGAAAAGAGCCAAAAATATTAAGTTTCCTTTTTTTAGATCTGGTATCTGAATTTTTCTTTAGGTTAGTGGTCTTTGATGGGGGAAAAAAGGTTTCTTTCAATTTTGAGATACAGAATATCAGCCATAGCACTGAAGGTAAACAGGCCAAGAACCAAATCCAGGTAGATTCTTATTTTAATAACTACCATTGTGAACCCCAGTTCACTAGAATAAGATTGTTTCTTTGGTTGGGCTCATAGCTCTAACTAGCAAAGTTTTGCATATGTGGATCTAAAGAATGTTATTGAATGAGTAGTCCTGTTTAAATAGAGCCTTTTATTAGTCTTGTTCATTAAGAAGTTTGTTCAACAATGTGTTTTCCTTTTGGTGAAATATTTATGCAGTGCTTGTACTTAATTATCTTACAGAGTTGAATACTTGAATATTCTTAGTAATATGTAAGGTTTTTTTTTCAAAGTGTTGAACTGTCAACGTCAGTATATTTTGTATCCATAGATACTATAAATACCATATATAGCTTTCCTATGAGATCATATTAATAATGAGACATTTAGAAAAGAATGTGTTTTGCTGTTAGGGTTGTAAAATCATAGGTAGGATACAAACTAAGAAGTTTAAGCACAACTCTGAATTTCTTTTTCAAACTTCACATATGTCATGACAGTTCATAATGGGCAAGTAGTATGGTCATCCTGAAAGATTTGGGTTTTCAGAGTGATACCCTACCATTTATCAAAACTTTTCTAGGATGAACAACAAGGAAGTACTTATCTTTCTCTCCCACAGTCCTTAACTATAAATGCCCAAAGTCATCAACATAGTGGTTTAGGTAAGAGCTTAGACATTATTAAGATTACCTTACATTGCAAATATAATTAGAGAGTAAACAGGTTAAACATAGGCAAAGCAGTATTTCCTCTTCAAGATGATGTAGCTTGGGAACTAGCACATCCTCCCTTTGGCAAAACAGCCTTCCCTTCCCATTAAACTTTGTGTATCTGTGCGCTTGTGGCCCAGCAGGAGGGGGGCACTTCTTGTAAATCTAGCATATAATATACCTTCATCATCTCTATGCTGGGTCCAAAGCTTCTATTTGAAGGAGCAGGTGTGCTTACAAGAAAAATGTTGATATTACTTTATGCTAGTTAAAAGAGGGTTCTAACTGTAATACCAACTCTAGTAGCTCCCATGGAAATTACTGGAAGCTTTTGGGAATCAGTGACCCTTGTCCTTTTAAATTAGTATTGAATGACCTAGGGAGCTCTGACTGTGAAATTGTCTTTTGTATAAAATGAAACCAGGGTCTTTTGGTGTTGAAAACATTCATGTAAAGATTCTATATCCAGTCTATTAAAGAAAGAAACCATAAGACAATTTTTTAAAATAAAGAGAGTGTGTTCAACCTTAAGATGAAACCAGTAAGTTCCTGCCTGACTAGCTGGCCAAGTCAAAAAGGCTATAGTAGAGGAAAAGGCCATAAAGGAGGGAAGGAAGGAAGGAGAAGAATGGAGAGGTGAGGAAAATAAATAGAATCCCATAGGGAGAGGTAGTTCAAAGGCAAACAAGAAATCAAGTGCAAACAAAAATTAGAACATTTTGTAAATGAACCAGCAGTAAGTAGTCCCTTATTTATCACAAGTAAGGAGTGAGCCAGAAAACTAGTGGGCTTATGGAACAAAAAGGATGAAGAGGAGATGGCAGATACACTGAATGGCTTTTTTCCATGTATAAACCATTCCTATGTCTATTATGTCTTTTGAGGGAGGCAGATAGGCCAGAGGTCATAATGGCAAATGAGCAAGAGACTCTGGTTCCAAGCAGCAAACTGGAAGTAGTCAAAAGCATAACGACTGGGGCTAAGTGATACAATCACCAGGGCTGACCCTTTGCACAACTATTTGGTTGGCAGAAATTGTCTCTTTTGGTGCCTCTTTCCCTGTACTGCTCCACTACCTAGTTCCTGCTTCTCTGAATGCTTGTGTTCATGCCCTAACCATTCCAAAAACTGCTGTCAGGAAAAGCTCTGGGAAACCAAACAGTTATGGCAGAGTGAGGGTGTGAAAGAGAGACTGTGCCAAAATTCCGGTTTAAGGCCTATTTCTAATTACAGAGTAAAAGTATGTGCCTTGTTAAAGGAATTTCAGATATTGGCTCAACAGATGAGAGAGATGTTTAGGTCAGGAAGCCTTCCTGGCACCCTTGGAATCAGAGGTGCCTTCCCATAATGCCCTGACTAGACTTGACTTCTGAAAGGAATCAAAAGGAAAAATGATGGTACTAATGAAAACCTGGAACCTGTTATTCTGGATGATCACTGTATGCATTGCTGGTGTGGCTCCACAGGCAAATGAGGCCCTGGGAACTATAAATTGATGAGTATCTGGTACCTTGATAGGCAAGCTGGAAGAATCTTTAATAAATGCTGGTCTCCTGTACACTGGGGTGGGGGCAGCACATGGTTTCCGTAAAGGGAAATCATGAGTGATCTTCATCTTTCTCTTGGGGCTAAACTCACTTTTTAAATGCTTCTAATTAAGTCTAATACCAGTGCTATTTTAAACAGGAATTACCATGGGATTTCAATAATTCCTTTAAATCATGTAGATGGAACTGGTTTGGCAAAAGAGAAAAAAAGAAAATACAGGGAGAGACAGACAGTTTTCTGATTGAATAAGGGTAAGTACTAGACTTTCTTGGGGGTGAGTACTGGGAAATCTTCAAGTGTGCAGATGATACTCAGCTTTTCCAGGCAGTGAAATGTCAGGTTGATGGCGGTTAAAGGACAATCTCAGGAGGTTTTATGATTGGCACATGAGCTTCCATAGGGGCATGTGTAAGGTAATTCATTCAGGGAGGGCCAAATATTACAAACTACACTTTCAGGATGATGGGTGCTGACCTTTCAATGAACACCCAGGATAAAGCTGTAGGAAACCCTGTGGACAGAGCCCTCAAGAGAACATCTAGTTTTCTGCTATGGCAAAGAAAAGGGCAACAAAACGTTGAATACTATTAAGAAGGGGATTAAAAAAACAAAACAAAATAAGTATCTTTTTACATAGAACCAAAGGACATCTTCATTGGTAAAGTTACATAAGCAGCTCTGATCTGCACACCTCAAGACAGATGGAACAGAGCCTAAGGGTAACAAAGAAGGGCAATTAAAATTATCAATAGCAGGCTCTGAAAAAAAAAAGGCCTTTTCAGTCTGAAAACACAGAGGTAGCCAGGGTACATGATCAAAACCATGAAGAGTCTAGAGCTTTTGCACGATGACTTGGCTTGCCAAATCTCTTGATCCAAGAGCCACCTCTGAAGCATAAAGTTTTTATTTTTTTAATACTTTGACTTTGTTTATACAACTTTCAGCAATGATGGCCAGTGTAGGCACCTTTGGGAAGTCCCTATTTCCACCAGAGGTTGGGAGAAATTTGAGCTGAAGTGGGGAAGGATCAAAAGCACCACAATCCCGATTACTTACCTTAAGAAATGTTGGCTTGCTAATTTCTACTCAGACTCACTTGCTCTACTTCCAGTCTCAGCAGTGAGTTTGTACTTGACCAATCTCAATTTTTATGAATATGAGTTCAGCACCCCTGCACCCCACCAATTCTGCAGGGCTTTTCAGCCCCAATGGTCTACACACTGGCATAGAGCTGTGTTGCCTACAAGTGGCTTTAATTTAATCCTTAACTGTTGTATAAAAAGAACAGATTTCTTTTTACACACAGACTCCATTTTGAACACAAAGGATAGAACTCAAGAACTTGTAGTAAAGAATTCTCTAATATTCACACCAATGTATGGCAGCAGATCTGAATAGAAAACCAAAACATTCAGACCATTCCAGGTTAATGAAATCACATACATGCAGGTTTTAGCTAGGAAAATAGCAGACAAGGGATTTCCCAGGATAGCACAGAAGCTCTGCTCTTGGGATGGCCTTAATCATCTAGGGTAGCAGGTAAGATGAAAGCAAGAGTGTGGCTATGGTCCCAATGCTTGGCTTTCCCAAACTGGATGGTTATATAATCAAATAAGTATAGCGAGCAGTACGCAAAAGCTACATAGGTATATAGTGGTTTTTTCTTTTTCAAATTGTTCTCTGAGAACAAGAATTCTCAATTTTTAAAGAATGGAGGCCATTTCATCCTACAGAAATGTAATCTACTTCATACTGGCTCACTGTTACAACCATACCTTTCACAGATGTGGTAATACTTCTCATCCTGGATACCATCCTGAATGGGCACATTTACACTGTAGTACCGTCCCTTCCCTAGGCCAACATCAGACACATCACCTGTTCCTGTAAAACAGAAGATCACTGTGAACAGTTTTAAGAACATCAGCATTGGAAACTTGAAGCATTCTCTGGCAGGAATTCATCAGACCAAAAGGTCAATTAGGAGAACAATCCTGAATTAGTGTTGGCTTCTAAGGGAATTAAATTAAGAAAAATAATATGGAAGTGTAACTGTTATAAATAATGTTGGGGAAGCAGCCAAACTATAAGAGAATGGAAAAACCTTGCTTTCCATCTTGCTGGAGCAAATGCAAAAGGAAAAGAGATTAATTCCTTTGCTTGACTTTTCATACATCAAGACTGACATAATAGACCAACATAATATTACTGTATGATTGCAATTTTAGGATGTTAGGAATTTTGCAGGATATTTGATAGTTCAGTCAGTGTAAGGGAGCTGCCTATTGACAGTTCATAAAAATCATCTGGAAAAACAAACACTATTACATTCCCTTTAACGCTGTCTCCTGAAATGACCTGTTAAAATTTTGCAGAGTAAGTAGTCAATAAAGTATTATCCACATGAAATGATCCAAATATAACACATAAGAAATGTATGGAAGAACTGCAGGATTTATTCCTCAAATGTAATATTGAGCACACAGGTCACTTGCCTGGGAAAAATCCTGGGGAGAATTTGTGCAGGGACACCGTCATGACTTTGGAGGTGAAACTGAAGGCATCTTCTACACCTACCAGAGAAATAAACAGCAGAAGAATCACTTCATACATGCAACTCCTGTTTCCAACAACTGAAACTCTAGAAAGCCACTGTGGGAATGAAGAAAGACGAGGAGGTAGCAGTGATCAAGCTAACAAGTGGAGGAATACAAGCAACAATACCCTCTGGTCCTCGATCTGTGTCATTATAGGATAAGGTAGAACTGTGGTCTTGAGTAAAGTATAGGGGGTTCCTTTTCAAATTCACAGCAAATTTTAACTGGATTTCCCCTTTTCAAGCCATGGATATCCAGGCTTTCTTTGATAACCTGTTCTAAAAGGTGGGCAAAGTCTTGAGCTCAGAATGGAGGCATTATCCACAGAGCTGAATAGAGGAAACTGGCACCATCTTGGAAGTTTTAGGTTTTGTTTCAGTGGTTCCAGTTAAATTCTTGGGATGTTTTTCCAAAGGAGTACAACGTGGCAACTCTTTGAAAAACATGATCAGAATAAACATTAGGCATTAATAGTGAAAACCTAATTACAAGTGCCTCTTTATGATACAGATTTGGTTATAAATGCAGTTCACTCCAAATCCCATGTGTGTAATAGATAATCTATAGTACATCTTTCTGGCTAAAACATGGAAGGCCCTGTCACCTAATAGTCACTTAACAACAGAGTTTTAAAGCCTGGAGAAAGATGGGGGACAAAACTTTTCTAGAAAGGAGTCCCCTTTCTATTTAAACATAATCAGAAAATGAACAGCGACCTGAGAGACAGAAGATGTAACTATTATGAGCTACTACTTATTCATACAAACACACTGCCTACCTCCACACTTTCCTCCCATAATTACATGTCAACATGTATTCAGATATTCCATCTGTAAAATGGAAGACTACTAGCAAATTCACACACTTCTTTTATGTTTCAAAAAAAGAGATAGTCTCTGTGTTTACTTAATCCTTTCAGTCTTCATTAGCGGCCAACAAAAATACCTTAAAAATTATTAACTCTATTTGTACATCAAGGCTATGTTTGAATTTCCCAAGCCTTATGTTTTGCCCTAGGGAGGCAGTTAAAACCAGTTAAGGGCTCTAGGCACAAAGTATTAAGTAAACAAAATAAAACAAAATAAATTGAAATAGCATTTTAACATCGAAACTGAAGTTAATAAACAAGGGTAATTCATGAAAATCCTGATAATTTGTCCATCCAGAAAGGCAGTACCAATTTTCACTTCTATCAGTGGTATGTAAGAGTTCCCATTTTCATACACCCTGAGTAGCACTGGCTATTATTACCCTTTTTAATCTTAGGTAGAAACAATGGTCATGTTCTAATTTGCATTTCTCTGTGTATTGGGCTATTGAGCACCTTTTCGTGTTTAGTGGGCATTTGTATCTGTTCTCACAGGAAATACCCTTAAGCATTGCAAGGAAATCCTACTTTAAAAAAGGACACATACAGATAGGTGGAGGGTATGGGGCTTGGTATGAAGGAGAAAGGTGGTTAGGTAGATGAAAGAAGGTGAGGACTGGGTAAGAGTGCTGGTGAAGCCAACATAGGATGCTAGTTATGGAATCATTGGAAATTTAAAATAAACCAAATGTGTAGGAGTCTGGAGGTGTTCAGGGGTCATTGGAAGGGAGGTGCTGAAGAGGGGAAATAACCTGAAATGAAACACACCATAAAAGTTGGCTAAAACAGGAAACTCTAAATGGTGTAGAAATAGCACTGTAAATGGAAAGAACAGTTTCAGTTGACAGTCTTATTTCATTCTGATGTGGATCAATAGAGTTGATTCTATTCTTGAACTCTAATATTAACAGTCTAATTTCATAATCATTCATTCAACAAATACTTTACTGAACCACTACTATAGGCGTAGTTCTGTTTGTTCAAGCCATTGTGCAGGACAGGAGTAAACAACTTAATCTCTGCTCTGAAGGAACTGAAAGTTTCTATGGGAGGAGAAGATACAGACACATTAAAAAATTAACTAACAATACAAGACAATATATAACTCAATATCAAATCAGTGATATAAACAATACAGGACTTGAGCAGGTGGAGAGAACCCTTGGGCTTCAGCGGTGAGGGCAAACCTGCTGCTATTGATGGGACTTGAGTTTCGGGGTTGAATGTGGAGATGCAACCGATGAGGAGAAAGCAAAACTAAGTCAGGAAAAAGTGATGCAGTCAGGGAGGTGGGAGCAGTGAGACATGTCTACAGATCACTGAGTAGTGTAGCCTGGATAGCAAGTAGTGGGAGAGAAGGCTGGAAAGATGAGTTGAGGCCTCTTTGAGACAGGCCTCAAAGGACAGGGTACAGAGCGTGGACTTTACCTTAAATACCACCGTTTTTCAAAGTGGGGTTTGTGAAACAACTAGGGTGTTGTTAAAAGATAGATTCCCAGGTTCTGTACCAGACCACTAAATCTGAATATCTGGTGGACGGGGCCCAGGAATCTGCATTTTAAAACAAGCCTCCTCAGGTCATTTTATTACAACTCCAAGTTTGAGAACCATCGCTTATAGGCAAAGGGTTAGCAAACCAAGTGGCTCCATAATAAATACTTTTGGCTTTGAAAACTACGTGATCTCTATTGCACATTTTTTTTCTTTACAACCTTGTGAAAATGAAAAAAAAAGACATTCTTAGCTTGCTGGCCACACACAAAAAAAGCCGTGGGCCAAATGTTACCCATGTTACAGGCAATTAAAGCACCTCTGAAGGTTTCTGAGCAAGGCTGTGTTTTGCAGTGGCTGACTATCCAGATATGCAGTGGACATGTTTCTCAAAGTTGTACAGTGGTTGTTTGAATCCTTTTCTGTTACCTTTAATCTTCTTGTCACAATTTCATAGTAGCATCTATCTAGGTGAAGTCCCCCAGGAGGTTTCCCCCACAATTTCTTCTTTTTCTGTTTGGCAGCAGAGCCAACCCTAGCCTCTGTGGTATACTATTCTTTTCCTCTCTTATGCCTTGATTATGTTAGTTAATCTTCCCAAATCCCTAGAAACAGGGAGGCAGCAGTTTCTGATAGCGGGGACAGAAGGGGATATCCTTAACTAATTTTACTGGGTTAGGTGTTCCTATGTCAGTGGAAATATGCATCACACACAGGGTTTACTAAAGAAATGGAATGTGGGCACTGTCACAGTTGCTCTAAATGGACTGTACATAGGAGAGGCTGGATATACCCTTTTGGCAAAGTCTTCTAAGAGAGGATTAATGGGCAATTTATTTCATTAATTAAGGCAAGCTGCTAAAGATTCTGCTGCTATTAAAAATTAGAGAAGATGCCCTGGGTTTGTTCAGGTCTAAATATTTTAGCAATACAAAGAAAGTAGCACAGATTCTGATCATTGCATGAGTTGGTTTCTCTATTGGTGAAAAATTCAGAATGTTAGTTCATCATCATGCACCCATTCTATCTTAAGAGATGCCTCAAGACTGTCACCTCTGTATAACTGAAACAAATATAATCTTATATATCAACTGTATTTCAATAAAAAAAAGACTGTCAGCCCTAACTTCAGATTTCACTTAGAACCTATGGAAGTGGCCTGAGGGAGGTTACTGAGCACTGGGGTAAACACCAAGTAAGAGTTCCACTTCTTAATGTTCTCTACTGGAGAGCTTTGCTATTGGAGGTGAGTGAGGGGTGGGAGAAAATTTACATAAACCTGGTATTTTAAAAGCATCTTGTTCAGCTAAGGAGGAATTGTATCAGTTAGAAAAATCTCTACCCACTTGAGGATTCCCAATTTGAAAAATTTCAATTGCAACAGGCACTTCTCTTTACCAATTGCCTAGAAGCAGCTTAAGTAAGAACCTGATGTCCTGGCAATGAAGCATCTTTGAAAGTGAAGGGCTTACCATCTCCATGGTGCAGATCCAAATCCACATAGAGAATACGGTCAAATTTCCGTCGCAACCGTAATATTCCCAGGACAGCATCATTGAGATAACAAAAACCAGATGCTTCATCTCTGCAAGAAAACAAGTTGCTACAGCCAACAGCCAAAAGCAATCCAAGGGAGTCTTTACAGCCAAAGATCTAACCCTTGAGGTCTATTCCCTTGCAATTTCCCCTTCTTTTAAGCAAAACAAAAATCTACCTACAAACATTATATAGTTAATGGCCAGATTGATCATGGCATGAAGTGTTTTGGTAAACTAAATATTCAGGTTGACTGATAACATTTTCCATTCAGGATCCCAGATTTTCAAAGAACTAGAATATTATAACCATATTAAACAAATCAGAACCTTTCTGTACTGATTCAGGAATAATTTAAAAAACTTTGCAGTCCCCTGGGTTCATCAAGATGAACCCTGATTATCATTTATAGGACCCTAAGAAAGCTAAAATTTAGAAGGGACCTTAAGACAATTTTGCTCAGCTAGATGTAAAAGCGGGAGATCGGATTCTCTGTACTGACCCCATGACATAACCTAAAAGTTTTTTTTTTTTTGAGTAAGTCTTGGCACTTGTTGTTCATAAAAGCTGAGTGTAGAACTAACAAATGCATAACCCCGTGGCAGTATAACATGGTTGCTTTTCTGTAAATGTTACTATTACAACATAGCATGAAGCAGCTTCTTCTAAAGTTATGTTTCCTTCACTAAAACTGTCTTCATTGACTTCACAGGTGTCCTTTAGCGTTTTTGCAATCAGCAATACTGTGTCACTTTAACCTCTTGTCAACATTAACCTACTCTTTTACTAGGTTTCCATTAAGCTTCATTGAGTTACTGTAAAAGAACATTCTTTACATAAAAAATGTATTAGAATTTATTTTTAAGGCCTCATCCTAAATGCTTCAGTTTCTCTTATTTCCACAGACACTTCAAATATCCAACCCACTTTTTTCTAAGTTCTCCCTGATGTTTTACCTGAAACAGAATTCTAGGCATGAACATCGCTTAAAATGGCATCTTTGCTACTCTGAGATTGTAAGATTTTTCTAGTGCCTATACAATGCATAAAGCTGTTCACGAAATCTCTTCCATAATAACGTTTCATATTCTGAACAATGCCCTGGTTTGCAGGCTGAATCAACAAGACAGTCACATTGGTGAGCAGGAAGTTGGTAAAAATATCACTAGACATTGACTTTCCTCAGGGGAACTCAGTGATCACTTAGCAAAAGAACAGCTTGGCCTTATGTACGTAACCTGGAAGAAGCCAATGAGAGAAAAAGATTTGCCCATCCATGAATTCTCTGAAAATAAAAGTTAAAAATGTGACTTCAAAGGTTCTTGGATGCTATTTTCCAATTAGGAAAAACTTACATTTTATAAGCCTACTGTCTTAGCACATCAAAAAAGAGATCATCTGTCTTCATATTGAACATCAGTAACTTTTGGGTAGGTGGGCAAAAAGCGGAGGGAGAAGGGGAGGAGGGGAAATACAAATCAATACAAGACATACTTCCTTCAGAGAGCCTACGGGTAAATTAGGGAGGTAAATTGTCAGCACAGAAAAACAAAACCAAAGGACAAACAAAAAAGGCAAGCAAAGATAATGACATGTAAATAATACAGGTAAATTCTATAGACAAAACTAACAGAGCAGTCATCTCACTGATAGTATTAAACTTCATCTGAGCCCCATGTTTCTACAAATGGTTATGAAACCCCTCACCCTTCTGTGTTCTAAGAAATGGTTAACCGCAAAGGACCACACGGCCTCTGAGAGTACCAAGGAAAGAACCATCTTTATGCTTCCTCGTGACTCCTGTAAGACTCTCAGATGTACTCCTTACCTACCTGCCTCTATGAAACTGCCAAGGCCCCCTTCCTTTTCTTTGAGATGTTTATTAATCAACATTTTGGCTTTGGTAATAGCCTGAATAATAATGATGACGATGTCTGTAGTTCAGAAAGGCGTTTATGAATGTGTTATATTTTCCTAATATTTTCTTTAATTAAAGGAGCTCTCATTGTTTTGTTAGAGAATACTATGAAAACCTATATGCTAACAAGCTGGGAAACCTAGGAGAAATGGACAACTTCCTAGAAAAATACAACCTTCCAAGACTGACAAAGGAAGAAACACAAATCTAAACAAACCAATTACCAGCAAAGAAATTGAAGCAGTAATCAAAAACCTACCCAAGAAAATAAAAAACCTGGGCCAGATGGATTTACCTTGGAATTTTATCAGACATTTAGAGAAGACATAATACCCATTCTCCTTAAAGTTTTCCAAAAAAGAGAAGAGAAGGGGATACTCCCAAACTCATTATATGAAGCTAATATCACCCTAATACCAAAACCAGGCAAAGACCCCACCCAAAAAGAAAACTACAGACCAATATCCCTGATGAACATAGATGCAAAAATACTCAACAAAATATTAGCAAACCAAATTCAAAAATACATCAAAAGGATTGTACACCATGACCAAGTGGGATTCATCCCAGGGATGCAAGGATGGTACAACATTCGAAAGTCCATCAACATCATCCACCACATCAACAAAAAGAAAGACAAAAACCACATGATCATCTCCATAGATGCTGAAAAAGCATTTGACAAAATTCAACATCCATTCATGATAAAAACTCTCAGCAAAATGGGAATAGAGGGCAAGTACCTCAACATAATAAAGGCCATATATGATAAACCCACAGCCAGCATTATACTGAACAGCGAGAAGCTGAAAGCATTTCCACTGAGATCGGGAACCAGACAGGGATGCCCACTCTCCCCACTGTTATTTAACATAGTACTGGAGGTCCTAGCCACGGCAATCAGACAAAACAAAGAAATACAAGGAATCCAGATTGGTAAAGAAGAAGTTAAACTGTCACTATTTGCAGATGACATGATACTGTACATAAAAAACCCTAAAGACTCCACTCCAAAACTACTAGAACTGATATCGGAATACAGCAAAGTTGCAGGATACAAAATCAACACACAGAAATCTGTAGCTTTCCTATACACTAACAACGAATCAATAGAAAGAGAAATCAGGAAAACAATTCCATTCACCATTGCATCAAAAAGAATAAAATACCTAGGAATAAACCTAACCAAGGAAGTGAAAGACTTATACTCTGAAAACTACAAGTCACTCTTAAGAGAAATTAAAGGGGACACTAATAAATGGAAACTCATCCCATGCTCATGGCTAGGAAGAATTAATATCGTCAAAATGGCCATCCTGCC